GGATCCAGGGGCAGCCACAGCTTCTCTGGGAATTCCAGCCCAGCCCCTCCCCACCCTCCCAGCCAGGAATCCCTTCCCAATCTCCCATCTCTCCCTGCCCTCTGGCACTGGGAAGCCATTCCCTGTGTCCTGTCCCTCCAGGCCCAAAGCTCCTCCCAGGGATATTCCCTCCAGCTGCATTCCCGTTTGGGAAGGCGCCGCTTTCCCGGGATCACCCCCTGGTGTGGTTTCGACCCCCTTTATTAACACCCTAATTAGCAAAGTAACTCCTTTGTTAATTGTCCAACCCCTCGCTCCCATGGGCAGCGACGCCTTTGGCTTCCCGGGACGTCAATCCCGCCGGAAAACTGTTGGATTTATTCCATAATTTCAGTCTTTTCCCGGATAAACTCTTCCATTGGGACGCAACGATTAATATCCGACCCGTGATCCGGCGGAGCATTCCCGGGGTTATTCCCTACGGACACGCCCTTGGCCGACTCCGCATTCCAGGGGGGTTTTTGGCACCGAATAAAGTTGGAATTTCCCAACGACCGAAAATATCCCGGGATCGGGGTGGACTTTGGACGCTTCCAAAGGCTCCGCCGTGCCGGGATTGCGGAAGAGCCTTGCCTGACTCATCCCCGGATCCCGGTGTCGCAACACCTGGCTCGGGTTTTTCCAAGGTCTCCCGGGCTATTTTTAGCAGCTGGAAGAGGGGGAAGGGGGCACTGGGAGAAGGACTTGGAGCACACGGAAGTTCAGCCGGTTTCCAAGGAATCCTTCGGCCCTTTCTCCTCCCCTGGCGATCCCGGGGAAGCTCATCCCGGTTTTCCTCTCCTGCTCTCGCTCCCTTCTCTTGCAACATTCCAAAGGTTTAGATGCTCAGCATGGTTTTGGGATCCTTGGATGTGTTTGAGGCTCAGCTCTTCCCAAAAAATCCTCTTACCATTGGATTCCTGGGAATGTGATGTTGGAATGTCTTGGTGCATTTTGCTTTTGTTCCTGGTACTTTAGAACTGGTTTTAGCCTGGAATTGCCGTGGGAATGTTGGATGTGGTGCTCAACGTGGTGGTTTTGGGATCCTTGGATGTGTAGAAAGTTCAGCCCTTCCCAAAAATCCTCCTGCCGTTGGGGGGAATGTGGTACCGGAGTGTCCTGGTGTGGGAGAGCTCCCCAGGATCCACCTCAGCTCCCGTTTTCCTTGAGGTTTTTCCGGCCAGGGCAAGATCCAGCTCGGGGCTGGAGCAGGGCTGGGTCTGCATCGAGGATTTCATGGGTCATGGAATGGTTTGGGTGGGAAGGGAACTTAAAGCTCATCCAGTTCCAAGCCGGACACCTCCCGCTATCCCAGGGAATCCAACCTGGCCTTGGACACTGCCAGGGATCCAGGGGCAGCCACAGCTTCTCTGGGAATTCCAGCCCAGCCCCTCCCCACCCTCCCAGCCAGGAATCCCTTCCCAATCTCCCCCCCAAATCTCCCCTTTCCCACTGGGATCCATTCCCTGGGGCCTGTCATTCCAGGCCCTGATCCCCAGTCCCTCTCCAGCTCTCCTGGAGCCCCTTCAGGCTCTGGAATGTGCTCCAAGCTCTCCCGGGATCCTTCCCTTCTCCAGCCTGGCCATTCCCAGCTCTCCCAGCCTGGATCCAGAGCCTGCCATTGGATCCATCCCCAGCCCAGCTCCTCCCTGGGAAGGAGTTCCGGGAACAAGGGGGTTCCCTGGGAATCTCGGCACTCAGGGAAGGGTCTCCCTTCCCCTTTCCTGCCTTTTCCATCCCCACATTCCATAAAAATTCCTCTGTGTGGATTCTGAGTGTCCTTTATCCTGGAATCCTGGAATGGTTTGGGTGGGAAGGGACTTTAAATCCCATCCCGTTCCATGTTCAGGGACACCTCCCGCTATCCCAGGTTGCTCCAACCTTTCCTTGGACACTCCCAGGAATCCAGGGGCAGCCACAGCTACTCTGGGAATTCTATTCCACCCTCCCAACCAGGAATTCCTTCCCAATCTCCCACCTCTCCCTGCCCTCTGGCAGTGGGAAGCCATTCCCTGTGTCCTATCCCTCCATCCGTTGCCCTCGGAGCATCCCCATTCCCAAACATGGAATCACGGAATGGAAGCCGGTGAGAAATGGGGATGTTTGGAGGA